GAATGGAACATAGCGGCACCAGGGGGTGTTAACAAATCGTGCCCTCCCCCTCTCCGGCCTGCCGGGGGGGAAGTTAAATGTCACGGAGTCGGTGCGGAGGATCGCCGACGAGTCTCCGTGGAATGGAAAATCGCACCGGGGGGTTCTAACAAATCGTGCCCCCCCCCCTCTCCGGCCAGCCCCGGGGGGGGGAGCTGAATGTCACGGAATCGTTGCGGAGGATTGCCGTGGGAATCTCATCAGAAGCACGGTTATTGCCAGCGGAGTGTCGGTGGAAGTTGGCCGGAATAAATCGGGGGGGGGGACAGTAACGATTCCGCCCGCCGCCCGCGCAATGGGGTTCAGCAGTGGACACCATAGCCATATTTTGGCCAAGGGGTGGCGGAGTGCCACGAGGGTCCACCTCCAAGGAAGATGTCTGCCAGAGCGGATCCCGAACGGTACGTGCAAGCATTGTTTGGGGAACATCGAATACAGAAACAGCCATATGATGATGATGATGATGATGATGATGATGATGATGATGATGATGATGATGATGATGATGATGATGATGATGATGATGATGATGATGATGATGATGATGATGATGATGATGATGATGATGATGATGATGATGATGATAATGCTGATAATGCTGATGATGCTGATGATGAATTCCGGGTCCCAGCCCCGAACTCCGTCCCAATTCTTGGACACCCCGTCATGCCCATAGTACCTCCTGGGTGGATTTCTTGGAGGGGTGGCGCCAACGCAAACCCTGAGGCTTTGAGAAGGCCCAACAGAGCCCCAAGGCGGCCTAAGGTAGCCTCAAGACGGCCCAAGGGGCCCCGTGGACGGCACAAGAGATCCTCAAGAGGACCACCAAGAGGGCCTCCAGACGCAACAACAATAGTTCCCCGTTGATGTTTGACAGATTCTGTAGCTCTCGGCTTCTCGGTCTCGGGGAGGGATTTTGAGGACGAGGAGGGAATGGGAGCGGAGGATGAGATGGACTAGACGTGAGGAAGGACGAGAATGTTGTGGAGGAAGAGAAGGAGAGGGAGATTGAAGGGAGCGGGAGGACAGGGAGAAGGAGCAGGAGGAGGAGCAGGGATCTTCTTCGAGGAAGCGGCGTCGAGGAGCAGGAGGAGGAAGAGGGGGAGAGGGGAACGGGGAGAGATAGAACGGGTGAAAAATGGAGGATGAGGACGACGACGACGACGACGACGAGGAGGGGGCTGGATCAGATGGATGATGATGATAACGGTGGGGGAGGGATGGTGAGGACGAAGAGGGAAGGGGAGCGGAGGATGAGGAGGACTAGACGTAAGGAAGGACGAGAACGAGGTGGAGGAAGAAAAGGGGGGGGGATTGAAAGAGCGGGGAGGACAGGGAGGAGGAGGATGAGGAGAAGGAGGAGCAGGGATCTTCTTCGAAGAAGCGGAGGCGTCGAGGAGGAGGGGGAGGAGGAGGAGGAGGAGGAGGAGGAGGAGGAGGAGGAGGAAAGGAGAACGGGGAGAGATAGAACGGAGAAGAGGTGGAGGAGGAGGACGACGAGGAGGAGAGGGCCAGAGCAGACGGATGATGATGATGATTATGATGATGATGATGATGATGATGATGATGATGATGATGATGATGATGATGATGATGACGATGACGATGGTGAGGATGATGACGACGACGACGAGGACGACACGTGTACGATGGCGACGATGTTGTTGATTGCTACGATGGCCACCATTAAGTTTTTGATGGTGACGACGAAGATGATGATGATGATGATGATGATGATGATGATGGTGATGGTGATGGTGATGGTGATGGTGATGGTGATGGTGATGGTGATGATGATGGTGATGATGATGATGATGATGTGATGATGATGATGATGGTGATGATGATGCTGCTGCTGATGATGATGATGACGATGATGGGTGATGGTGATGGTATGGTGATGGTGATGGTGATGGTGATGGATGATGATGATGATGATTATGATGATGATGATGATGATGATGATGATGATGATGATGATGATGATGATGCTGATGATGATGGTGGTGGTGGTGGTGGTGGTGGTGATGATGATGATGATGATGATGATGATGATGATGATGATGATGATGATGATGATGATGATGATGACGACGACGACGACGACGGCGACGGCGACTAATATGACTCTGGTGACTATGATGATCATAATGATGACGACGATGATGATGACGATGATGATGATGATGATGACGACGATGATGCCAACGATAATAATAATAGTAATAATAATAATGATGATGATGATGATGATGATGATGGTGATGATGGTGCTGATGACGATGATGCTGATTCTGCTGATGATGAGGATGATGACAACGAAGTCTGCGGCGACGACGATGATGACGTTGACGATGTGCCTAGCTAGAACCTAGGCGCGCGCGAAGCGCGCGCGTGGTTCTAGTCAGACGTTTATCTGACCAGCCTTTTGGACAAAGCGGCGTTTCCCGTTCTTGTCCGGTCAGGTTCCAGGCTCTCTTGCGTGCGGGACAGGGCAAAGCTTGGAGCGCGGGGGGGGGGCCCTTGCGCGCGGGACGGGGGGAAGAACTTGGAGTGCCTGGGGGGGGGCCCATGCGCGCGGGACGGGGGGGCAGAGTTTGGGACGCCCAGAGGAACGGGGGTGGGGGGGGCAACCCCTTGCGCGCGGGACGGGAGGGCAGACCTTACATTTCTGAGAAGGGGGAGGAGGGGGGGGCGGGGGTGCCAGGCGCGCGGGACGGGGGGGCAGAGATTAGAGTGCCGGGGGGGAGGCGAGGGGCCTTCTGCGCGGGGCGGAGGACAGAGCTTGGAGTGCCGAGGAGGGTGGGTGGCTCTTCTGCGCGGGGAAGAGGACAGAGCTCCGAGTGCCGGGAGGGGGGCGGGACCTCCTTGCGCGCGGGACGGGGGGCAGAGCTTGGAGTTCCGGGGGAGGAGGGCTTTTGTGCGCGGGACGGAGGACAGAGCCTGGAGCGTCGAAATGGGGCAGGGAGGGGCCTCTGCGCACGGGACGGGAGAGGGAGAGAGGGGGGGCGCCAGGGGATAAGCCGAGGCACTAGTTTGCAGGGGGGGGCTCCCCCCTTCGGCCCCCCTCCCCCAACCTTTCGTGCACGGGATTGGGCGGGGCTCCCGCTTTCGCCCCCCCCCCCGCGGTTGTTGAGCGTTTTTCCTCACATGTGGTTTTCTTCCCACCCGCGTCCCACTCGCGTCTTCCTCACTTCTCCCTTTCCTTTTCCTTTTTCACTTGCACTAGCACTGACAGCAAACACACACACACACACACACACACACACACACACACACACACGCACGTTTGCACGTTCTCGACATCATGGGGGGTGCGGCGTGGGGGGGTCCCTGAGCGCAGCCGCTATGCGCATCTTTTCGCCCAGGGCATAGCAGGGCATAGCTGGTGTGGCAGATGCTCGACATAGGAGGGGGTGCGCAGGGGGTGATCTTTCACCGCGGCCCCTATGCGTGCCAGGGTCGGGGAGCATGGTAGGCGTAGCACTTTCTCGATACCAGAGGGGGTGCGCAAGGGGTGGTCTCTTTCCGCGGCCCCTATGCGCGCCAGGGTCATAGAGCGTGGCAGGCGTGGCACTTTCTCGACACTGGAGGGGGTGCGCAGGGGGGGTCTTTCACCGCGGCCCCTTTGCGTGACGGGGTCGGTCGGAGAACGTGGCAGGCGTAGCACTTTCTCGACACCTGGGGGGGTGCGCAGGGGGTCGCCTTTCAGCGCGGCCCCCATGCGTGCCAGTGTCGGAGAGCGTGGCAGGCGTGGCACTTTTCCGACACCGGAGGGAGTGCGCAGGGGGTGGCCTGTCACCGCGGCCCCTATATGCGTGCCAGGGTCGGAAAGCGTGGCAGGCGTAGCATTTTCTCGACACCAGAGGGGGTGCGCAGGGGGGGGTCTTTCACCGCGGCCCCGATGCGTGCTAGGGTCGGAGAGTGTGGCAGGCGTGACACTTTCTCGACACCAGAGGGGGTGCGCGGGGGGTCGCCTCTCAGCGCGGCCCTTGTGCGTGCCAGGGTCGGAGAGCGTGGCAGGCGTAGCACTTTCTCGACACCAGAGGAGGTGCGCAGGGGGTGATCTTTCACCGCGGCCGCTATATGCGTGCCAGGGTCATGGAGCGTGGCAGGCGTGGCACTTTCTCGACACCACAAACGGTGCGCAGGGGGTGGTTTTTCACCGCGGCCCCTATGCGTGCCAGGGTCGGAGATCCTGGCAGGCGTGGCAGTTTCTCGACACCAGAGGGGGTGCGCAGGGGGTGGTCTCTCTCCACGGCCCCCATGCGTGCCAGGATCGTAAATCGTCGCAGGCGGGGCGCTTTCTCGACACTGCAGGGAGTGGTCACTTCGCGCGGCCTGGAAGTTTTATGCCGAACGCTTCCGCCATTCTTTTCCGCAACTTCGCGCGCGTGCAGACTCGAGGTTTTCTGTCGACAGGCTGCGCCTCGCACGAAGAACCCGAACCGCATTGTTTGGGCGGCCGGCGTTCGCAGCGCTTGCCCCCAGGGACTTTCTGTCGAAGCGGCGGCGTATGAACCGTTTCTTGTACAGTTTCTCTTCAGCGTTGTCCTCAGTTCTGTTCGCACAGCGCGTCAGGCTCCCAAGGCTTGACAGGCGCCACCAACGGTATCGCCGGGGCAGCGGCCACCAGTATCATTTTCGCATGTTTCACTTCAGCTATCATCACGCCAGACATATTATAAGTATGTGGGGTCCCTCGGTAGCGAAATGTTGTTAAATATTGTTCCCTCTGACCTTTGGGGGTATTTGGGGGGCCCAAGGGGGGTTCGTAGTGTTCAGGGAGGTCCGCGTCTTGGGGGAGCTGGCAAACCGTCTAGTGGTGACCCCCCTTCGGCGCTACCTGGAAATCTTGGAAGGGAGCGAGCGAGCCAGCATGCATCCAAGTGAATCAGTTTGACGCCGCCGAAAGGGTAGGGTGGCCGCGGCGGCGGCCAAGGGGCAGCCATCTCCCACAGGCACAGTGCCACGCTCAGGCCGGGGAGACTGGCTAGCGGCCAGTCGCGGCCACAGGGTTGCGACAGAGATGAAGCCCGGGCGGCAGCGAGCGAAGGGGGCGGGGGCCCGAGGCGCTTGCTCGAGCTGCTGGCGGCCGTGCTCGGGCCGCCGGCCTCCTGCAGCGGCGGCGGCGAGGGAGGCGGCCTGCGGGGGGGGGGATCGGGAGGTCCCTCAAGGCATCGAGGGTCGACGGAGGTGGTGGGATCGATAGATCTCGGCCACGCGCTGAGGGAGGTTCGGACGGGACTGGGACGAGGAGGAATCCGTTCCCGAGCGTTCCGGAACGCTCTCAGAGCGTTCCAGGAAGCTTTGACAGAAGGCCGCGGCGCCCGAGACATCCTCCAGAGCTGCTGGAATTGAGAAATTCTCGATTTATCCTCACCCGAATTTGTCCTCGTCCTGGCTTCGTCTCGACGGTCACAGGAGGTGGAGGGATGGATCCATCGAGGATCGAGGGTCGAGAATCGAGGTTGGAGGGGAGGGAGGGAGGAGGGGATGGAGGAGCTGATTTGCAGTGGGCCTCTCGGGCCTCCCCCTGGCCGCCCAAAACACCCTCAGGGGAGCACGAATAAGCGACGAGAATGGCGCCATTGAGCACAAGACGCCCCGAAATGGCATCCAGGTTGCCCGAGAAGCCCCCAAGAAGCTTTAAGAAGGCTCTAAGATGCTGTCCACTTCGTTTTTTCGAATCTTCACGGCATCCACGACGACCCCAAAGGCCCCAAAGATCGCCCCATGACAGTCCAGGAAGCCCCCCAGAGAGTCCCAAGACGGCCCCAGAGAGCCCCAAAACTGCCCAAGAGGTGCCCAAGACAGCCCAAGAGGGTTTCAAGGGAGGCCCAAGAGAGGGGGAACCCGAACTCACATGTCGAGCCCTCCGCCCCAAGTGTAATTTCGAGGCCGCCAGCAGGCCCCGAAGAGGCCCCCAAGGGCCCCAGAAGAGTCCCGAGAAGCTTCAAAACGACCCCCAAGTGGCCCAGAGAGACTTCAAAATTCACTCCACGAGGCACCCGAGAAGCATGCCAAGAGACCCCCGATTACAGGTATCCGACAAGCCTCTGGCCTAAAACTCAGGCACGGTAGCTGTATGGGCCGAAGGCCATAGTCCGCCGCCCCCTGTTGATTCATCACAGGGGTGCCTGGCGTGCTAGATCCTCTCGGTTTTGGTTTTGGTTCTTTTCCAAAAGACCTCCCCCTGGGGCTCCAGCGCGCCCCGCAGGCATCCAGAAACAAATCCTCCAAGACAGCTCAAGATGGCTCCAAGATGACCACGTTGGTCCAAGATGGCCTCCAAGACGGCCCAAGAGAGGAGGAGATGCCTCCAAGTCCGCCCAAGAAACCTCCAAGACGGCCCAAGACGGCCCAAGAGGCCCCCAAGAGGCCTCCAAGACGGCCCAAGAGACCTCCGAGAGGTCCTCCAGGAGGGCCCGAAGAGGCTGAAATCATTGATTTTCCTCATATGTTTAAAGGTTTTTCGTATTTGCTCCTTTTCGGCGTTCCGACGACCCAAGACGGCCCAAGAGGCCCCCAAGATCGCCCCCAGAGCGCCCAAGAGGCTTCCAAGATGGCCTCAGGACTGCCCAAGAGGCCCCCAAGACGGCCCCAAGACGGCCCCAAGAGGGCACAAAGACAGCCCAAGAGGCCTCCAAGACGCCCAAGATGGCCTCTAAGACGGCCCTGGAGCACCCCAAGGGGGGCCCCAAGTCGGCCCAGAGAGGCCCTCCAAACGGCGTCCGACGGCGTCAGACGGGCCAGGAGCCCACCAAGATGGCCGAAGTTGGCTCGAATCTAGCCCAAGACGGCCCAAGAGGCCTCCAAGAGGGCCTCCATGAAGGCCAGAAAAGGCCAACAACGTTGATTCTCCCAAGTTTGTTGAAGGATTTTGACATTTGTTTCTTCGCGGCCTTCCGACGGCCCGAGACTGCCCAAGAGCCCCCAAAGATCACCCAAAGATCGCGCAAGAGGCTTCCAAGATGGCCCCAGAACGGCCCAAGAGGCCCCCAAGACGGCCCAGGAGGCTTTTAAGACGCCCAAGATGGCCTCCAAGACGGCCCTGGACATTCCAAGAGGGCCCCAGGTCGGCCCAGGCCCCCCAAACGGCTTCAGACGGCGTCAGATGGCCCAAGGCGGCCCAAGAGGCTTCCAAGAGGGCCTACAGGAAGGCCCGAAAAGGCCAAGATCATTGATCCCCCATGAGTTTTTGCAGGATTGTGGCCATTGTTTTTTTTTCAGCCTTCCGACGGCCCGAGACGGCCCAAATGCCCCCAAAGATCGCCCAAGACGGCCCCAAGAGACCCCCAAGACGGCCCAAGAGGCCTCCAAGACGCTCAAGATGGCCTCCAAGACGGCCCAAGAGCCTTCCAACACGTCCTCCAAGAAGGCCCAAAAGGGTCAAAATGGTCTCCAGACGGCCAAGATGACCTTCAAGATGCCCACGCGAGAAGTACGCCGAGTGGGGGTTGGTTCTCAACCCAGGGGAGGACGGCAGGCCTGGCAAGACGGGATCACCGACGAGAGCGTCGCGCTGGACCAGGCTGCTTGGCGGCCGCTTTGGGCGGCGCTGAAGGCGGCCCACCCTGGTGCAACGCCGCTCTGGGACAGCCTCGGGGAGGCCGTGCTCTCCCTCGGCCTCCAGGTGGATCGCCACTTGGTGCCGCTATTCGAGGCTGTCAGACGCGGGCCCCCGCTCGCTCTGCTGATCCCGCGGCAGCCGCCCTCGACATCACGTGGACGGGCGAAACCCGCGCTGACGGGCAGGTGGGCCGCTATTTGACACGTTAATTGAAACATGCAAGGAGAGCTTCTTCAGTGAGACCCCGCAGCGTGTTTTTGGGATTCGGAAGGTCCTCCCGCCCATGGTGATGCGCTTGCGCGCTTTAGGGCATGCCGCCATATGCATCGACCCCTTACATAGCGTGGGATTCGATTGGCGCCGTGCGCCAGAGGATCTTGGGGTGGTTTCGGGGCTCGGTTGTCTTGGGCGCGTGGGCCTCCCTCGCCTCGGGCCCCGGGGCCCCCTCGGCTCGCTCTCGGGCCTTCGGTGGCGGGCTGTCCTCCATGATCCTCGAGTGCCATCGCTTAAGGGCCCCTGTGCTTGTAGAAGCCTGTGCCGCGGCTCCCATGCTACGCCTTGCCTCTGTCAAGTATGCTCTGTCGCACGCTGCGTAGGCGGCGGGATTAAACCTGTGCCAGTACGCTAGTGTGCACTCTCGGCCCACTAAAATCTGGTCGCGGGCTGTCTCGTCGCCACCGCTAAAGGCCCGCCCCGCTTGCACTGGCGCGGGCAACAGATGTTCGAGCCCTCGTCGGTTTCACGTTTGTCTCGCCTCTTTGGACCAGCGCGGTGCGCCGTGGAAGTTGCCCGCACACCACTTTCCTATGGAGTTCATCCATTGGGGCTCCGACCGGCTGGTCTCGGCGGCTGAAAATTTAAGAGATGCCCGACTCAGTCGCCTCGCCTTGTAACGGCTAACGTTCGTTAGTGTTTGTTCGGCTTGGCGGCCAGGGGTCGCAAGTATGTCTGGTACCTGTAATCGCGATTGTGTTTGGCAGCTGCAGGTAGTCTCTCGCAAGCCCGTCGGTCGACGGGGTATGTGCCCTTGCCCCCTGCAGCAAAGACATGCTCTGGCAGACAGAATGGAAGGTGATCATACAATGCATGAGTGTTTTGATATTTGGAATGTGTGTGCCGTAACCACTGCGGCTCAAGTTTCCCACCCCCCCACCCGCTCTCGCTTTTGTTTTCCTGTAATCTCGATTGCGCTTGGCAGCTGCAGGTAGTCTCTCGCAAGCCCGTCGGTCGACGGGATATGTGCCCTTGCCCCCTGCAGCAAAGACATGGTCTGGCAAACAGAATGGAAGGTGATCATCATCATCATCATCATCATCATCATCATCATCATCATCATCATCATCGCCATCGCCATCGCCATCGCCATCGCCATGATCATCGCCATCGTCATAATCATCAACACCAACAGCAGCATCATCATCATCATAATCATCATCGTCGTCATCGCCATCGGCATCGCCATCGTCGTCACCATCAACAACATCGTCATCATCTGCATATTTGCTCTCTGTCGTTGCTGTTGCCACTGAGTCATTGCCACAATGCACCGTTGCGCTGTGAGCCTTGCAAGGAACAGAAAGACGAAGACGAGGAGGGACGACGATGACGACGACGACGACGAGGAAGAGGAAGAGGAAGAGGGCGACAACGACGACGACGAAGAGGAAGAAGAGGAAGAAGACGAAGATGAGGACGAGTAGCAGCGGAGGGAGCAGCAGCAGCAGCAGCGTGGGAACGGATGAGGCAGCATGGAGACGGGAAAAGGAAGAGGGAAGAAGAGAGAAGGGAGCAGGGAGAAGGTGGAGCAGCAGCAGCAGGTGAAAGAGGGGGGCGGACGAGGAGCAAAACGGGGCGGACGATGAGTGCGCCTGAACTCTGGATGGCAGGCCAGCAATGCAACAAGGCATTGGTCTTCTGCATGACGAAGAAGTTCGCAGATGGGCTGGTCGATCGCCTAGGACGGGTAGCATCCCCAGGCCCAAAGCTTTCCCCTACGAGTACCGGTTCCATGCCATCCATTCCGTCGTTCCTCTTGTTTTTCCCTCATCCTCCTTCTTCCATGTCCTCCTCCCCCATCATCCTCCTTCACCCTCCCACCCACCCCCGTTCTTTTCTCCTCCCACCTATCCTCCTTCATCCTCCCACCCACCAACCCCTCCCCGCCTCCCCCTGCCCCTTCTACCATCCTCAACCACCACCCCTTCTCCCAACCCTCCTCCCCGTTCTCGCGCTCCCGATCCATCCCTCTCCCCATCCCTCCTGCCCCCCACTCTCCCCCTCACCTCATCTCCGCCCCTCGTCCATCCCAGACCTCTGACGTCGTGTTTTTCGTTTCACAGCGTGGACCCCTGGAGTTTTCGATATTCCAGAGGACTGGCGCTTCATCCCGAGTCGATTCTTGACGGTCCTGGGGACCCGGTAAGGGCTTGCCAGAGGCCGAAAATTGTGGACAAATTGTTGATTGGTGATTGTCGCATAAGGTTTCGCTTCGCGAGGTCTGGCTTTCGGGCCATATCTCAAGCTTCCAGCGGCCATCCAAGGCGATCGGGGACACCCCCCTGGACGCCCTGAGCGAGGCGCAGCTGCTAGGAGGCATCCCGAGACTAACGAAAACGTTAGAGAATCCACGAAAACGTTAGAGAAGGTCGGCAGGAATCCACGAAAACGCTAAAAAAATCCCAGCATCTTAAGGGGAGGCTCGCCGTGGCCATACGAGGGCACCACAGGACGCTCGAGAACGTGCAGAGCCCAAGCGTAGAGAGCCGAAATGGCAATACAGCGGGAACGCGCATCAAGAGGCCATATGCTTTTCGTCGGGGTATCCTGGGTTTCTTCGCTCCGCGCGCGCTGCGCGGTGACTTCCCGCAGCCGTGGAAGGAGCTGCTGCGTTCAGGGCGCTCCAGGTTTCCCTCCGGGTGTACCTCGCGCACGGGTTCTCAGGGGTGAATTTCTTGCGAGGGTTTCTTGCGGCCGCGCCCGCAGTGTACAGAAGGCACATCCATGAAGAAATCGGCTTGCCAGTGGATGCCCTGCCGAAAGTTCGTATCCCCCGATGGCCCCAGGGGGCCCAGAGGAGCTCTGGGGCACCTTGGGACCCTCCAAGGCCGACGGAGAACGTGCCCCAAGATGTCCTGTGGCACCCCGCTCTCCGCCGGGTGCCGACGGCGGCGGCCCCGGCACACGGCGTCCCCGAGGGCTGCCGGGCGAGGAGGATATATGGCCCCGGGCGGCCGCGGGGCGGCCCCGGGCGGCGAGGCCCCGCGCGGAAGCCCGCGGGGTGGAAGGAGGATTTCTTGTCGCACGCCTACCGTGGGGAGGAGCCTCCCGAGGGCCCGGGGGTCAGAAGTCGACCCCTCGGGGGGGCGCCCGTCGGGCGAGAGCCTCGAAGGCGAGCCCGGCCTCGGCCACGCGCGCCGCGGGAAGAGCGGAGAGCGCCCAAAAATTTCTCGAACTTCCATCCTTCCCCCTCCTCCATCCACCTCCATCCTTCCTCCTCCTCCTCCTCCTCCTCCTCCTCCTCCTCCTCCTCCTCCTCCTCCTCCTCCTCCTCCTCCTCCTCCTCCTTCCCCCTCCTCCATCCTTCCCCCTCCTCCATCCTCCATCGATCCATCGATCCCTCCACCTCCCTTGACCCTCCAGCATGCATCCTCCCCACTCGTCCAAGACGGGGGTGGGGATTAGGGGGGGGGATAGCATTGCCAGGGCCACGATGTCTCGCAGATTCCATTGCCCCCTCTTCCTATTTCAGCACGTAACCTGGCCCCCATATAATACGAAGCACATGCCGGAGGCTATGATGCGCTCACCCCACCTCAAGGGCCCCCTTTCTCTGAGATCCGACGTCGCAAAGAGAACGCAACATCGCGAAAAGTCGTGACCAGAGCCCCAGATCCCATCGCTACGCGGCGCTTCTCGAGCCGAACAGACAGTGAAGGCCCTGGGGCCCAAGACGAGGCGGGACCCTCTTCGGCTCGCCCGATTGTCTGGACTGGCCCGTCTCGGTGATCTCGATGTGCTACGCGTGCTCAGCGCATCGAGCCGCCAGTTCTGTCCCAACACGCATCGGCGCGACACGCTGAGCATGTCCCAGTCCCCGAGCGCCAACTTCACGAGCTTCTCCCAGCCTGCCCGACCCGTGGAGCGGAGCGGCACGCTTTCCGCTTTGCAGGGCCCGGCGTGTCGGCGGGGCCGCGACACGCGACATGTGCAGCAGAGGTTCCCTCTTCACCTGCCCCCCCTCTTCGGCGCGCCAGGCCCGTGCCCCCCTTGGCTGGGCGATCGATCTCCAGGGTGCCTCGGCAGGCGGCGGGCACAGATCCGTCGCCCGCCGAGGTCCCCGAAGGTCGACCTCCCAGGCGGTGGTTCCGGATCGGCTTCAGGAAGGAAAATTAGACACGGACGCAAACAAGCGTCGACCTCCATGGCAACAGCATCAGGTCTTTGAAACGGAGGGCAGATGAGATGTCGATACCGTATAGGGACCCAGAATATGTGTGGATTTGCGTGTGCCTCCCGTCCCGCGAAGAGGTCGGCTTGACCATGCCCCCCTCTTCCAAGGACGCCCTCCTCGGCGCGCCCGGCCCGCCGCGCGACCCCGGGAAAGGAGCGGCCGGGTGGCCCGCGGCCGCGGTCCACGGCAACAAGGCAGCCGGCCGCAGCCGGGCTCCTGTCGTTTCCCCATCTTGTCCTTCCCCCCTGTCCCTCCCTTCTCCGCCTGATTCCTGATGGCTGATGGGCGAAGAGATCCACGACCGCAGCCCTCCCTCCTAATCCTCCTCCTCCTCCTCCTCCTCCTCCTCCTCCTCCTCCTCCTCCTCCTCCTTGTTTTCCCCCCTCCTCCTCATTACTCCCCCGTCTGCTTCCTCCTCATCCTCCCACCTCCTCCAAAGACCTCGCATCGTGAAAAATTAGCGCGACGGGAGGCTCTCCTCCGTTTTCGGCCTCTGGGAGTCTTCACCAGGCCCCAGCATCGTCAAAACCCGACTCGGGCTGAAAAGATGTCATGGGGAAGGGTTCCAGAACCTCTGGGGAGCCACATTCTGAAAAAAACACGACGTCAGAAGTCTGGGTCCTCCTCCTCCTCGTCGTGTTCCCCCTCCTCTTGCTCCTCGCTCCTCCTCATCCCCCTTCTCCTCCTCGTTTTGTTCCCCCTCCTCTTCTTCCTGTTCCCCTCCGCCTTCCCCATCTGCCCCTCCTGCGTCACAAGGAGGGGGCCGAGGTCTGTTTCATGTCCCTGCCAAAGATTGAGGCCAGAACCGAGCAGAAGGAGTAGCAGCAGCAGTGGGATGAACCGAGGAGGAAGAGGGGGAGGAGGGCCGCGGAGGCCCCGACCCCGACCCCCCGGGTAGTTTTTGGTTAGGGGACCATGTTTGATGGTCCCGGGCCAGATGACCGGCCCCAGAGGCCGAGATCTAGAGATACTTTTTTTTGGTCGCGGGCGGACGAGGATTCGCAGTCGCCGAGCTGAGAGGTCCGGGTCACGGGCCTGCCAAATGAGCAACGTGCAAGCCTAAGGTCTAGAGATGCGCGAAGCCGCAAAAGAAAAATCTGGGGGGCGGACTCGTGTCAGGAGGAGACGGTTCGGCGTTCTCCTGGCGGGCACGTCGGGGGCTGCCAAGGGGGGGGGGATGGTTAGAGGGGGGGATATCGTGGCCGGCCTTTCTTATCTCAGTTCGTCCCCTGCCCCACCCCACCCCACTCGTCCACGCACACGGCTCGGGCCACGACTTGCGACCCCTCCCATGGGACGACCCCTCTTGGACGCACCCGATCGGGGAAGAGCGCCAGGATCGAAAAGCAAAACAAAAACAAACAAAGATCGTCGAACATCTGGGATGGGAGGCGGAGTCTTGTCGGGAGAAAGCAGCTCGGCGCCCTCTGGGCGGGCAGGGGGAGGAGGAGCTCCAGCGTCCTTCCCATCAAGGAGAGCGTGGGGCTCATGGGGCCCCCTGCCTAGCGCCCCGCACGGGCTCGAGCACTCGGCGTTTGCTCCTTGACGCTTGATCGTTGAGGGGGACAGCACATGGACAACAGATTCGAACCCTCACACACTTGAGGGGGATGCTAATCACCCTCCCCGCCCCCGAAATCAATGTTGATTTTAGCATGGGTGATGGTCTTGAGGTTCGAACATGTTTGTCCACCCAAGCCCCCTCCATTGCCGCACCCTTGCCGCACCCTCAATATTGAGTTTGGGGGTCCAAGGGCTGCATCTTGCGCTGCAGTGTTCGAACTCCTTGTCTGTGCACGGGAGTCCCGAGAGGATCCATGCACTCGCCGGCAGAAGTTTTCGGTCGGTGGCGACCTCCTGGGGACGCCGTGCCTGGTGTCTCGGGGGGGCGCGCCGACTGCAGCCAGATCGGGGGCCCCGTGGCGGGGCGGGGGGGGAAAGGGGGGACGGCAAACCCTTTGTGTTCCCGTCCTCGCCCCTCCGAGCAGCGCCTATCTCGAGAGCTCATGCCCGCGAGGAGCCGGGAGCCGAAGAGATCGGCGAGGGATCTCCGTGCGCAGGCGCTGCAGCATCCCACAGGCGGGGGATGCCGGGGCGTCCATGCAGCGAGCTCCTTGGCCGACCAGGGGCCCTGGTGTGCTCGTCGAGCCCCTCCCAGAAGCGGCCTCCTCCCGGCAGGGGGTCCTCCTCCTCCTCCTCCTCCTCCTCCTCCTCCTCCTCCTCCTCCTCCTCCTCCTCCTCCTCCTCTTCCTCCTCCTTTTTTTTTGGCAGCAACGCCAATGCCCCACTTCAGCCTGGATGGGGCTCTCCAGAGGCTCCTCACGGGCGACTTACGTGCAACGGCACACACCTGAGACGAGCTACAGTAAAGACACAAAATCATCCAAGTCAACGCTGACCTGCGAACGGTCTGGATGCTGACCCAGAAGCAAGCGCCGCACGTTGCGGCGCGACGTGACAGAAGGCGGGCCACACACTCTGCCCAGTTTCAGCACCTGCGAGCCATTGCTGTAAAACTTGCACGACAGGCACAGAAACAGCGTGGAACGATCGGAGCACGGGAAGGCCACGACCCGATGTCCCAAGCCCAAGATCACGCCTTGGTCCAGTTTGGACCTGCCTCCTCCTCCTCCTCCTCCTCCTCCTCCTCCTCCATTTCCTCCTCCTCCTCCTCTTCCTCCTCCTCATCCTCCTCCTCATCCTCATCCTCCTCCTCCTCCTCCTCCTCCTCCTCCTCCTCCTCCTCCTCCTACTCCTCTCTCCTCCTCCTCCTCCTCCTCCTCCTCCTCCCCCCCCTCCTCCTCCTCCTCCTCCTCCTCCTCCTCCTCCTCCCCTCCTCCTCCTCCTCCTCCTCCTCCTCCTCCCTCCTCCTCCTCCTCCCCCCCCCCTCACTTTAAGGGTAGCTCTTTGGGAGATGTTACAGTATCGGGAGCATAGTTCGCGCGCCGCTGCCTTGGGCTCAAGGCACGCGCGCCCTATTTGCCCGGACACCGCGAGTGTTCGCTATGTGCTGGAAAGATCATTACATCGATCTTATCCTATCTTACCCATCCACCCCTCATACTGTACCTTCACAGCAGAGCGATGGATGCAATTTGCCAGGCTATATGCCCTATTTGAGTTACCAGGCTCACTTTCGACTTGGTAGCGGAGCTGGCCGCACTCTCGTGTGGTCAGCTCTTGCTCTTCTTAGCCTCACATTCTTCGGCACGATCTTCGTGACCACCTACTACCCTGCGCCACCACTCCCAGTACATTTACGAGGATCTATTCAAGAGCAAGAAGCGACACGAGAGGTACGACGTCTAGACGACCAGATTGGTACCATATACGCTTCATCATTGCGTTACTATCAACCGCTCGGCAACGAGCCAATAACGCAATACCTGAAGCAAGGGCGGGGAAACCCGCCAGACAGAGCGCCTCGAAGACTCGACAAGGCGCTACCCCAGCGCGACACCGCTCATCATAACCGTCCTTCGTTACACATTCTCGGGCTAATCGTTTTCGCTATCATATGGTTCGCGCTGGGGGCAGCAATCGCACACATGCGTCGGGGAGATAACAGCACCGATGGGCAAACACATGGCCCATATTGGGACCCTCAGGGTAATGTACCTTTTCGTGAGTACATTTACGAGGTCAACGCGTGGCTCAACGTTACAAGCGGACGTATGACGCCACAGGCCCAAGCGGCCGCAATACAACGCGGCCTGGGAGGCCTAGCGAGGACACTCGCCATGAGGGTACCGCCTGACATTATAAACTATGGTGCTGACATTGATGGGGTCCACACAGACCCAGTAACTTACATCATGTTCCTCCTCAGCATGAAGTTCGAACGCCTGGAAGATGAGCGACAGCTCACTTCCGGCACACAACTCATCGACTTCCATGTGCCTCACGGGGAACGAATCGATGTCACTCTTACCCGATTCGAAATGGCCCGACTTGAGGCACAGTCGGTGGGATTCGACCTTCCTAACTTCCAACTGCTAACCACTATCCTATTCCGCGCCTTAGGCGTCGGCAACCAGAAAGCCATGCAACTCTTACAGCCACTCAACCACCAAATGCCTCGAACACAACAACAATATGATGAGCTGCTGGAAAGGATGCGTTCGGTAGGCCACCTATCCGAACGATATCCTGGCAACATAGGATCCGTGTTTGGAAGAGGAAGGGGATCTGGTAGTGGAAATTTCTACACTACCTTGACTACTGAAGCCCAGCCTGGAAACGGGCCCTCAAACATATGGGCCGATGACCCAGGAGAATCCACTGCTTTATTAGCAGGGGATCGATCACAACCAAGCTGGGCAACCAGCCCTCCTTCTAGAGAACCACAACCACACCGCTCGTTATGGGGGGAATCAAATCCCCTAACCGACGGTGTATCCACCTATTTAGGAGACGAAGATTTCGACTCCGGCACCGATACAGACACTATATCATCAGATGGTGTTGAAGCTCTAGATTGGTCAGATATCATGAATATGGATAACGACAATCAGCGTGCTGAGCATTTATTCTGGCTGTTACAACAGGCTAAACGAAGGTGGAGGAGGTTCACACGAAAACCAGTGCGTCGTGTTAGAAGGAGGATACGCAGAAGTTTTAAAGGAAAGGGTAAAGGCAAGCGTGGTCGTCGGAGGTTGAACGGGCGAGGTATCGCGGCATTTCTCCAGAGGCTCTCAGATGAACAACATGATGAGATATTCTTTGGGGGAAAAGGCCGCGGTAAAGGCCGTAGAGAGACCTCAGGTAAAGGTAAAGGTAGGCGGGGAAACCCGCGAGGTAGAGACGGCCAGGTTCTCAAATGCCATGAATGTGGTAGTACCGATCATCTTGTGCGAGATTGTCCAGCGAAGGGAAATGGAAAGGGCATGTCGTCCGAAGTCCATTTCGGCTCAAGCACACCATCCATTGAGTATCTGAGCCTCCAGGACTTTGAGGCTATGGAACAGATATTTTTCACATGGGTCGTTGGCATGGACAACATTGACGAGCTCGAGGGGTATGGTCATGGATTATACGCGTATTACCTCGAGTACGTCCGCCGGTTCGTCATGGGCAGTAATGAACTCACTCCCGTGGAACACGGTACGCTCGGAAACGAGCCTCTTTCCTTCTTCGACTGGATGTTCGGGAACCCAGGCAACATCATGGCCTACGAGAGCGACGACGAGGACAC